TCAAGGATCGGCCTTAAGCCCATATCTTTTTGCTTTAGTCATGGATGTTCTCACTAGACATTTGCAAGAGGATGTACCTTGGTGTATGTTTTTGCTGATGATATTCTTCTTGTTGATAAGACTAGAGAGGGAGTTGAAGGTAAACTTGAATTATGGAGGTCAACCTTAGAGTCTAAAGGTTTTCGCTTGAGTAGATCTAAAACGGAATATATGGAGTGTAATTTTAGTAGTAATAGACCTAGTGAGGGGATTGTGACTTTGGGCGATCAAGTTATTAATAAGAGTACACATTATAGATATATGGAATCTATTGTTCAAAGTGATGGTGATATAGATGGGGATATTATCAGCAGAATTCAAGTTGGATGGTTGAAGTGGAGAAATGCATCGAACTTATTGTGTGATGGAAAAGTACCCCTCAAACTTAAGGGAAAATTCTACAAGATGGTGGTGAGGGCTGCAATGATTTATGGTGCTGAATGTTGGCCATCAAAAGAGAGTATAATACTAAGTTAAGTGTGGCAGAGATGAGGATGCTCAGGTGGATGAGTGGTTTTACCCTTAGAGATAGGATACGAAATGAGCACATATGTGAAAAGATTGGAGTAGCTCCAATAGAATATAAGATTAGAGAGAGTCTCCTTAGATGGTTTAGTCATATAAAACGGCGACCTTCCGATGACTCGATTAGGAAAGTAGAGGTATTAGATATGACTTCTGTAAAGAAAGGTAGAGGCAGACCTAAAAAGACATGGTTAAAAAATATTAGGAATGACCTTCCATTATTATATTTAAACGATAATTTGACTTTTAATAGGACAAAATGGAGAAAAATGATTCATGTAGTCGACCCCACCTAGTGGGATAAAAGCTTGATTTTGTTGTTGTTGTTGCTGCATAGTATTGTTATCAGCTTCATTAACCAATATTGCATATTTTCACACTCATATTTTTCAAAGATTGAACTAAATATAACATTTTTATAGCCTATAAGCAAGCAAATTCAAAGCCCATCTCACATGTTTGAAGCTTTGAAATCAAATAAGTATATTGCTTAAATAAATGATTTTGATATTTGAGGTTATCAAAATAAAATAGAATAATAAGCATATAAAATAAAGTAAAATATTACTATATATGTAGGCATTTTAATGAAACTTGTGACTCAATATTCTTCAAACTTACTTGTTATATCATGAAGATATATTATTAGGATTGATGGAGGAATTTTGATAAATTTGCATGTAAAGTATATTGAGATGATCAAGCCCATGTTTACCCAAATTACATACAAGTTGCTGCTATTAAAAGTTAAAAATTGAAAAATACACCTTGCCCTTATAGATATTTTCCTTCATTCCTAGCCTCAGGCTTTGTTTCAGCTACTTAGCATTTTCCCTGAGCTTATAATATAAATAAAAAAGCAAGTTAATCAAAATCGATCGACAAAAGGAAGAAGAAGAAAATTGTTACCTAAGTGATGACCCTTGACTTAGAAGGAATTAAATAAGTCGACTATCAAAGGATACGACGAAGCACACGGGATCTCTTAATTCTGTTAGCAACGAATAGATGAAGATGAGCGTAATCACACAAACGAACAAGAAGCTGCGAAATAAAGGAATACGAGGGACGAACGACAGCTGTATTCGTGTGAATGAATGCGGAATCCCGTGCGGAATCATGGAATTGATTGCGTTCGTGAGGCTTCGGGGCTTCGGATCAACAACTAATAACCTAAAATTCATTATTATATTATTTAAAAATTAAAATTATATAAGTATTTAAAAAATATTATTACATTAAGAAAATTTAAAAAAAAAAATTGCACACATCATGCGCCATGTGCTTACATGGCACAAATGGCACACGTCAGCTTGATCCTGTACGCCACACCATGCAGCTAGCATCTTGGGTGCGTCGCACTAAGCTGTGTGCCATGGAGCACGCCATTATGCGCCATTGACAAGTGTGTTTGCTAGGGTTCATTACTTGTGGACCTCAACTAGAGTAGTCTTTCATTCGAAATTCTTAATGTTGGCATCTTTTGATATTCTAAGGCCATGCCATCAATAAGGTTGTTAGTGATCATGATTCCAATCTCCCTCCACAATTCAAGTAATGGAAATGACTTTGTTTTTTATCGATAGTTCCTTTTTTACAAGAAGTTGTACCCTTATAATGTCAAACTCAACATTTAATCTACAAAGAAAACCGCAATCATCTTGCCATAAGCTTTGTATTAGGTTGAGATATTATGTGATGGGTTATCTTTTTTAATGTGTGAAAGAGATCTTGGTCTTAACTTCATAGATTTGTGTGGCATCACAAACTTTGGAATACATTTGATTTACTGTATACCATATTTTCTTTGTTGAATGGAAGAACAAATATGAATTACTTATCTCTAGAAACATAAAGTTTTTTTAAACTGGACATCACCAAGAAGTCTTGGTCATCCCAAACTTTAAACGTGCAATCTCCTTGCAAAAGTTCAATTTAAAGTAAATGGCCAACCTTTTTCTCTTTTTGCTTCAACAACATATGAACCAATTAGGACAACTTTGGACAGTTATTTTCATTCAATCGGTATATTAAAAGAATGTTCTGTAACATTTAGCTGAATTCAAATTGCACCCTCAGTCTCAAGGGAACCTGAAACCATGGGAATATGAGCAATATTGTTGTTTTGATATCAATGCGTTCACGAGATAATAAAAAGAACATAAACTGAAATGATCTTGTTTCAAAAATCAGAAAGAAAAGAATGAGCAAAAAACACTTGGGAAAAATTTTAATAAATCTCTAATACCATTACAAGAATTAGAGACTAATTGAAAGTAAGTTTCATTCAAAAATTTAAGCAAATTTATACAATCATAAGAAAGCTTCCAAAAGAAAATATACAAAAATTAAGTATTAAAAATACCTACAAAACTAATGACAATAGGAACACAGATATTTTCTTAATAGAGTTGGATACCTCGCATGGATTAGTGAGGTGGCAGCAAGGATGACATGGATCAAGAGGGTGGTGGAAGTGTAAAAGCTGGCACAGGTCGAGGGCGGAGATGGAGGAGAAGGTGTTGCAGTTCAAGGAGGGGGTGGAGTAGGTGGAAGTCAAAGATGTCACGCAAAACTACAATTTATGTTGCTGATTTTGACCTTTCCATTCTATCTCACTGCTAATTTCACCATAAAATACTTCTCCACACCATCTTCAATTCAGCTTTTGTAGCAAATACAAGGATTTGTGCCCAATCATTCTAAATTTTGAAATTAGAAGTCTAGACCTCCTCTACAAAATTCTCCTTGTCATCCATTTGAAATCATGGTTTTAAACTTTGATTTATCTTCATAACTAAAATCCCTCCACCATCCCATTAGGTTGACTGCAATAAACTAAGAAAATAAAATGAGCATTATCCAAAGACTTAATTTTGAATTAGAAAAGTTTTAAAAAGTAAATTTTATAATTTAAAATTCAGTTCAAATTTGTCAAATGCACTATTATCTCCCCTTATAAGAAAGCAAATCAATCCCATACAATTATCTCGTTCTATCCTCACACTTTTTAAACCAATCGCAATGTTGCCTTTCAACATGTACCACTTCCACCCATCAGAACTCAAAGAAAGACAAACCCAATTGAATCCAATGGGTCTCCTAGTGTTTAGCCATAAATCAGTTTATATCATATCCTTTCTAATAGTTAACGCATTCATTTCTATTAATCAAGCCTCTAGACCTCACAATATTATTATAAAGCTTAGTAATTCTTATATGCTTGGTTTTCCTTATAAAATTCATAATAATCCTACTTCCAAGATAAAATATCTGTCATATCTGAAACAATAAGTCTGATATCACACTCATATATTTCTTTAGCTCAAGTGAATGCTTTCAGATGCCTATGCTTGTCTTCCCATCAATCTCTAGTCAAGACAAGATTAATTCGATAGTGTATGATGAAATTACTAATGAGCCATCTAGCATTCATCGATTCTACTTTGTTAAGCAGACATTCATCATCTAATAACACATAAACGATGCATGAAGTGTTTGTTCAATTTTATGCTACCCTTCTTGAAAGAGTGTTACAATTTAGACTCTCTAGTTGAAAAGTTCTACTCACCGCAAGAGAGTTATTAGAACCCACAAGTCATTCATTGTTCTCATAAAAAGGTTTTAAACATGTTTAGGCCTTAGGGGTTGTTGGCTCATATTATAACTGATGTAATGTTATGTTATTTGTAATAAATAATGTTTGGTTTGATGTTATCTCTTATATTACAGTATTAGTAGCAAAGATTGAAATAATCTAATTTAAGGAAAAAAATCTTAATCAACATTAATTATTTTAAATCATATTATTATATTTAATTAAAATAGCAATAAACCAAAATAGTTATTATAATTTAAAGATAACATAATTACCTAAATAAAGTGTTATGTAAATAACATTGAATCAAATAAATTATTAGTATTTTTCTTTATATAAATAGCCCATTAATCATAAATTTAGACCAAGCTTTTCATGATTTCAATCTTTCATCTTTCCCTCCTAGCTTGTCACCAATAGCTTGATGCAAAACTTACTCTTAGAAAACTGTGTGAGACAATCGGTTCCGGTTGGCTAAGGTAATATAAAATTCATTTCAATTCCTTCTTGTTTTCCCCTTCTACAAGCCCCAAACCCCACCTGTTCTCACTTCCACCCATCTGTTGCACTCAATAGATCAAATCCAAGTCATTCCACAGCCCAGTTTGTCAGAAAAACTGGACATTAACTCATTTAGTTGAATGGCATATATCCATGACTACACTTCTAATTCAAGCAAAAGACTAATATTTTACTGATTGCTTTTCAGATGTGTCGGCGGACCGAGCCAATCTCTAGAGTAAAATATCAGCATATTCCGAGCATTATCTTTGTACCATCCTAACATAAAAAAAGCTAATCAACTACGAATCTATAAAAGGAAAAGAAAATTTTCAACCTTTCTCCCTTCACAGCAAGGATACCTGCCATGACATCACTGTGACCTGATATAAACTTAGTAGCCGAGTGCATCACAATATCTGCAATAAGACAAAGAAACCATCATTATTACTTACATAAAAGCAGGAAGCCTTCCTATTAAAAAAAATAAGGAACCTGCGCCAAGTTTTAGCGGCTGAGACAAAACTGGAGACATGATACTATTATCCACCAAAACAAGAGCTCCATGTGAATGAGCAATCTCTGATATTTTCTGTGTATTAGAAGAATAAAGGAAAATAATGAAGCGTTATTGAAAAATATATAAATCATATTTATGGCATAAGGAAATGACTAAATTATGGGAAAGACAGTCAAAAGGTATCTTTATTGGCAAATGAATACATCCTTTGGAGCGGAAAAAAAAACAAAAAAGGTTACACATCCAGCAGCATGACAAAACAAGGCTATGTACGCTAAAGTCATGCATTGCCAGAGAACACCATTAATATAATCAGATTGAATGACACTAAGAATCACTGAGATGTACTATGCATCACTCAGTTATTCAATCAAAAATACACAAAGCAATTAAATACTACGCATTAATTAATATAACTGTAAACATGCTCAAGAACTTTGCTTTGCAATGGAACTTGTCCAAACTCTGAAAATTGCAGTTATTGATAATATTTTTGAAGTTTCCAGATTAAAAAACCAATCACAAAGAAAACCAAATTACAAGAACAATAAGAACTTGCAAAAAAAACAAAAATAACCAAGAGGAAGTTGATGCAAAACAAATGATGAAGAAAATGGCCAATATATGTGTTGATTAAATTTTTAGAGGTTTGAAAATTAAAATGCCAACATAAGAATAACAGGGTAAATGCATTCTTTTCAACCAATGAGAATCTTCCAAGAAAAAAAAAATTGCTTCCTACACCAAAATTTTGTATAATGATCCTCTTCTCCGATTCAATTCTGCATGGTAGTGAAGTTCAAGTTTGTATTGAACCATGCACAAAACAGTTATTGATATGGCATTTTTGAAAGAGTAAGCAATAGTAATTTACTAGTTTTGAAGTGCAAAGTGTTGAAACATGTCATTCTTCCTTTAAATGCACGAAGAAGAATCTAAAAAAAGCATGTCAAATGAAACATAGAATTGGCATTAGTGAAAAAACGTGGAAGCAGAATTCACACGCAAGTACTAAAACCATATGCGTTTTTCTAATAAAGAGAAAAGAAAAAAGGTGAGGAGGATATCATGGAATGATAAAGTTAAGAGAGCATTTTGTGCTGCTAAAAGATATTATAGCAACCATGTCTTTAATGTGCATAAAAATTTAAAAAAAAATCACTTTAATAAGTGTTAATAAAGTATATGACACTTGACATTAGCTAGGGTATTTCAATTTTGTTTTTGGCATGCGCACAACTTTATCATACTTATTTCACGTATAAAGAGTTAATTTGGCAGAGTAATAAACCACAAAATTACACATATATCGGCTATTTGTATGCGAGGGTTTGTAGGACTCTCCAACCAAACAAGCTTCGTATTGGGTCCAATTGCAGAGGCCACCTCATGCAAATCAGACGTATCAACTCGCCTGTCATGTTGCATATAGTCATAAGATATGTAACTTCTCATTCTATTATTTAGCAGCAGTGCATAAATTCAATTGCATGCATCACTTTTGGAAGGTTTCGGACTCACTTGACCACAATGCCCTTCCTTGGGACCACTTGAGAGAGCAATCGGTCAGAGCCACCATAAATATCCTCTCCAGCAACAATTTCTTGGCCTAATCAATAATTGATAATAAATAAAGTTGATTGACTTCCTAAATAGAAACTAAATCTAATGATCTATAGAAAATTACCAGAGACAATAAGAGAAATGATAGTAGAGAGAGCAGCCATTCCACTAGTGAAACAAAACGCACGGTCAGCCTTCTCCAATTTCGCTAAAAGACTGATTGTTAGCAAGAATACAAGTCAATATTATGCGTATAATAAGCTTAGTGTACCTGCAGCTTCACAGGATAAGAATACTCTAATTGAACTTACAGTTTTTACAAACCTTTGCAAGACATCCCTTGTAGGATTTCCACTTCTAGTATAATCATAAAGCCCATTCTCTGTAGCAGATGGCTGACAATTAAATATAAAATAACTAATGAGCTGCAGGATTAGATGATGCATAAATAATCACACTTTTATTGATAGAATGAACAATAAAACAACTAACACTCGATCCCATTTCTTCCTATGTCCTGCATTAATTTTTAAGTAAAGCATCATTTTGTTTCTACCACAGAAATTTTCATACCTGCAGTTTCATATCATATAGTTTTGGGGAAAAAAAAGTGGTGCTATAATTGGAAATTGGTTCCGAGAAATGCATAAATCATTACTCAGGACAATTCATTAGCATTTCTCTTGAACAAACAAAATGTATATAAATTTGCTATAAGTGTTGCCCAAATGGGAAAACTAAAGTTGTCTCCAGCACTTGCATAAAAGCATGGTTTAAAATTGCGCAAAATGAGGCTCGCCTTTGCGCAATTCCAGTAAAAAATGCCTCGATGCTTACGCCTCGAGTTTTTTTAATGAGGCTTGCGTCTCAACTTGGTTGAGGCCCGCCTCGCTTCACTGGCATGAGGCTTACGCCTCACGCTATATATCATAAAAGTCAAGCGTCAAGAAGAACAAAAACAACCGCACGTTCCAGGAATTCCACCGGGCAACAAGAAAACATTTCAGGCTGTTTGGAACCAAAAAATAAAAAATAATCAACTTGCTGAAATAGCTCTTATCAATAAGCACGTTATTTATATGGTCTTAAATTTATATTATCTTGTACTAACATGACGATCCTTTTGATCATGATGAAGCATACTGTCCACATGACAAAACCAAAGTCCGGATTTTTCTCTGTCTACATTAAAGCGCAGTTATGGTAGCAGCTGGCTTTGATTGCTTTTCCAGTAGACAGTCTCTCTGTCGGTCAAAATAATATTCCGTTATGTTCACCCTGCGTTTGACGCCTTTGGATAGGTAAAGGAAGAAAAAGAACAGTATTTGAAAAATCAACAATGAATCATTGTGTTCCATAATGCAAATACAACTAATCACCCAAAGTGGAAATCTCAAGACTACATGCAGATGCTTATTTCAAGTTACCTGCTTAAAAGTGGATGTCTGATACAAAGGGATGCTAAGCGCTCCATACGGATCAAACGAGTTTCCAAACGTAGTCAGGATTGTCGATATGCTTGGCTCCTTATTCACGTCTGCATATTTTTCCAGTTCCATTAAATATTAAATCATGGTCGAATAAAGAAACAGAATCAAATCAAAGTAAATAGATTAAAAGCTTAAAAAGTGAAAATCTAACCCATTCCAAGTGAGGAAATTTCCAAGCTATCAGCGATTCCTTCAGCCAGAGCTGAAGACCTCATGTCCCTCTCGCCATCTCCACCGCAATTCATCGCAAATCTCTCTAGTCTTTGATTCACAGACAACCCTAAGCCAACAAAACGATCAAAGCAGCACCTCAAACCCTATTGTAAAATAAGCCGTTAGAATTAAAATAAGGCCTTAGAGATTCAGCAGAAAAAGGGAATTGCGGAGAAAGAGCGTCGAATCTTGCATTTTCCCATACCAATGAAGGAGAAGCGCGGACTTGATCAGTGGAGTGGAAACGAGGGACAATACTAGAACCTGCAGCCCAACGGGAGCCAAAGTTGGCGGTGGCGATGGCAGCTTCCATGGAAGGCGACGAAGAGCCTACTAGGGTTGATGGCCCCACTTGGCGCTTTCCTTTGACCTTCCGTAGACCGGGGAGATTGGAGCTGCAAACAAATCATGATTTAAATACTTTAAAGTTTAAACATTAAAGAGACGTGGAAAGCATTGAATTTTTTTATTGGAATTATTAATAGTTTTTTTTTTATTTTTTTTAAGGTGAGTGCAAAGGCAGCTTTCATATATTACTCAAGAAAATTACTATATGCTTATTTTATTATAGGTTTAAAAAACAAAGAATTTCATTCTATAATTTAGAATATCAATATCAAGTAAAATATAAATGTAAATTTATCAAAAATATATATAATTAAAAAACCCACATAATAGCAAAAATATGCTTCAATGATATCGTCATCTAAGGTGGCAAAAGAATATAAAATATCTAATTGGAAAGGCTAACCACCTAATTGCAATACATCTACTGATAAGGGGATTTATCATTACACCTATCCAAAAAGAAATAATATATGTATTTGAACTCTCAAAAGAGCATATTGTGCACAAAATGGATTCTTCCCATATGTATTGATACTTCACAAAAAATTGTCAAGATCAACCATGAATCTTGAGACATATTCATGTTGAAAACTTTTGAAATTAAATGCAAGGCCATCCGAACTCCAATTTTAGCAGACTCAATCAAATTAATGTATCAATGAGACAAACTTAATGACACCAAAATCGATCTAATCTGAGCCCAAATGGGCTCAAATCAAAGAACTGAAGTATATTTGAATGATTTGAGGCATACATTGGATGATCAAATGATCTCCAAATATGGCATGCTTATAATCAAATCGAGCGGCTCGACCAGACAAACTCAACGAATAAAAGATCGCTTAATTCTAACTTCACTAAGGTACTTACATGTTGTATGAACATTATATGATTGAATGAATCAATATGAGATGAGCACTCCTAATTATCTTCTTCATATTTATGGGGCATGATACTCTCAAAATCTTTAAATAAACCCTCCCTTCTCACATGAAAAAGGGGGCTAGGACCTTAGGCTAAAGATCAAGAGAGATATAAGGCTTGAAAATTATGGAGCTCCACACCAACACCACCGCTAGCAAACCCTAGCCGACCAACCACCGTTGATGAGCCTTCACTTGATCTTCGTCATCAAACCTTCATCCAGCCACCACCATTGGGTCTACCACTGACCAACCTCACTAGAATAAGGTCCTTTCAAGCACCGTCGTCCACTAACTACAATCCCTTGACCTCCATCTCATGTTAACTACGATCCCTCTGACCTCCATCATATGCCAACTACGATCTTACTAACCTTTATAGCCTACCATGATATCTCCAACCATCGACAATCGTCAACCACGACCCCTCTAACCACCGTGACATATCGACTAAGGCCCCTCTAACCAATGTCACCCATGGACTATGGTCCCTCATATCACCATTACCATTGACTATAGACCCTCCAATCTTTTTCGTCCATCAACTATGGTTACTTAGACCTTTGTCACCAGCCGACTACAATCTCTCCAACCTTGATCACCCTACAAAGGTCCTCCGACCTCCATCGCCCTCTTATTGTGATATATTTAACATCTATCACCTGACTATTATCCTTTCGACCTCTATAACCCACTGATTACGGTCCCTCTGACCTATGACCTCTATCTTCTGCTGATTATGCCTCCTCTGACCTCTATTACAGGTTGACTATGATCTCTCTAATCTCCATCATTAACCTATTATAGTCTCTCTGACCTCCATCGCCCGTGACTATAGCTTGTATGATTTCGGCCACCCAATAATGGTCCTTCATCCTTTATTGCCTTCCAACTATGGTGTATCTGACCTCTATTACCTGACAACGGTCGCTCTAATAAGTGTCACCCAATTGTGGTTATACCAACCTCCTTTATTTGTCGACTATGGTCCCTCCAACATATGCCTCCAAAATACAATCCTATCAATCAAATGAACATGTCAACACTCTCTTGAATAACTATCATGACATTTGGTTCTTCTATCCCCAACTATGTAAAGTGTTTTATATGATGTATATTTCTAATTTGAGCCAACGCCTCTTAGGGGTGTCAAAAAAGTGTTGTGGATCGAGTTCATGTCCAACCCGATAGATACCCACTATCATTCGACACAACCTGAACTAGACTAGTTTTTATAAATAAGTTAAATTTTACAACCTAGACCGACCCACAAAAAACCTGAGTCAACCCTGTTGCGGATTTATGGTTTATGGTTTTGATGATAGCAAACATTCCTATTTCTCTATGACGGCCTTTTTTACTAACATTTCATGTCCACACGATCAAGACTGCGATTTGGAACCAGCTCAAGATTGGGTAGTCTAGGTCTGAGTCAGTTTGTACACTTTTTCCTTTCTTGAGCCTATTGTATTTGGTGTGGCTCCTTATGTTTTGTAGCTTAGAAGATTTTTTATTGTTCCCTAAAGATTTCTATTTTTGGTAACATCGTCTTGGACGATCTGTCCAAAAGTAGAAACCCTAATTAGGGCATCCTCATTAAAGCAGTCGTCATTATGCAAAACACATCGTCCTGGATAATTTTGTATCAGCCAGGACGATAGGTTCAAAACAGAAAGAATCTGCCGTCATATCTATTTAGAAATAACATATTTTTGGACATCGTCCAGGTGGATCGTCCAGGACTATAAAATATCATCCAAGACGATCTAGGTCAATTTTTCTAAAATTTCTCTGAAATTTTAGGAAAGCAATTATGACTTGATTTCACGATCAAATCGGCCTGGACGATCGCAAAATCGTCCTGGCCGATATGCTGGACGATTGGTCATCGGATAGCTATTTTTCAGGGTGATGTCGAGGACGATATTTCGCGATTTGTTCTGATCGTCCAGGACGATATATTATCGTCCAGGATGATATGAACAAACTCCTTCTAATCGTCTCAAATCGTCCTGGCTGATTGGGCTTAAATTGTACTAATCATACATGATGATAATGTCGGCAACTTGCATTAATGAGCTCCTTTTTAGCTCTTTTATTTAAGCTATGACATGACACTTTATAAGTGTCTTTGGCAGCCATTGTAGCTTCATTCTTATGGGGGAGACTTGAAGAGAGAGCTTGAAAGGGAGTGAGGAATGGGTGAAGTCTGAGAGGGAGAAGATTCTGTGAGGGGGGACTCAAGAGAGTGTGAAGGGGATTCCACACGGTTGCTCCGGCAGGCGTGCATCTTAATACCGTCAGATTCAAGGCTTGTTCGAGGGAAGTTCACCAAAGAAGAAGTTCACTTTGGTGTCAAAGGACCCGGCGACTCCGCCGCACTGGGGAAGGTGGAAGTAATTTTGTAAGGGCTTCTCCGCCTAGCTGTGGGGCCTAAGGGAGAGACACTTGTTTTAGTGCAATACTTGGAGGGTGCCTCCAAGGAGTGGACGTAGGTCAAGATTTGACTGAACCACTATAAATATGGTGTGTTCTTCCTTTATTACTTCCGCATTTTAATTTCCGCACTTTGATTTCTGTGGTGATTTTGGTTTGAGTTTTATCTTTGATTTTAAAGTTATCCAATTCACCTCTCTCTTTTTTAGCCTTGGGCCAGTTCATAAGGGCTTAACATTCCTAACGAACTTTCAAGTGATATCAGAG